AATTTATTCGAGTGGTGGTCACTTGCCCGAAGTCTAGTTTCTTAACTCACAGTAAGGATTATTGATGCAAATCCAATGACCCAACAGTAATTTACGACTAAACAAATAGCGCTAGATTGTCCTTGAAAATACCCTAATTAAAATCCCAAATATTGTCGTTGGTATAAGCTGGTACATAGATAGTATGTCAGACAAAAGGTGGACTTTTATAGAGCCCTGGAAATGACTTAAGATTATTTATGCTTGATTATATTTGTTTCAATGCTCTTTCTCTATGCCGAATAAAGAAAAGAAAGAATGGATTTACTTAACTTTTGGTTATCTTAACTTCCGAGCTTTGTACGCAAGTGATTTCAGGTTTCATGAATAAAAAGCTCTGGAAATATTTTTTTTATTATTTTTATTTTTTATTCTCCTTCTAAGGCCAGCAGTTTCATTGAAAAACGAGGTGAACAAAATAATTTTCAGTTCAAAGAATATTAACTATTCTAAGCTAAATTATTTTTTTTCTTAATTTTTGGTATTATTTCTTTGATCTTTCCCCTCCAACATTTACTGTGGGTGAAAAAAATCCAAGCAAAAGCTCAAACTCCACAAATGCCTTTGGTAAACACTTAAGAAATATAATAATTCATTCAAAGTACAAAGCGTATTACGCATATTAGCAGATTTATGGCTACTCTTAGAATTAAAAAAAAACACTATGCACATACATAGGTACATATTTCACACATACATGTTATATGTATTTGTATATTCAAAAAAAGGTGTGTAAAATAGGCGATATAAAGTCAATTGACTCAATTTCCGCCGCTCAACATCAATCAACAGCTAAAATCACCGGTAAACATGCCATAAACAAATAAAATTATAATAATAATATCAACAACAACAAGAAAACTAGCACACAGAATTGAATATCGAAAGATCATCGAAATCCGTAAACACTAAAAACAACAAGATGATGGCAATAAAAATCGCATTAAAAACTAGGAGAGAGAGATTGCATACATACAGACATATATGTATGTACATATGTGCCTACATACATACACATAAACTGTAACTGTAGTAAACATACAACTTTATACACCTTTGCCACCCTCAAAAGTTTCTGCGTTTAACATACAGACATATGTATATATGTATGGATTTATGTGCATATGTATGTATGTTTGACTCGGCATGCTGTAAGGTTAAGTCTAAAACTGAGCGGTAATTATAATCACACTTAAAGGCTATAAACTTCATTCATTCAAATAATGAAATTTCTAAAAAAAAAAAAAAAAAAACAAAATAAGAAAATTAAAAAATGCCAAGTCTATTATTGGCCACTGAGTTGAGGTGTTTCTTGTGGTTTTTGTTGTTGTATACATTGCTTAATCAAATTAAATTTAGTACGCGCATTTAATTGAATTCCAATGAATTTCTCATTCGTTGCCGTTAAATGATGATACTAAATCTCTTTAGAAACATTTAAATGCTTTCATCCTCGATTAAATATATTTGTATATACGTGTACATACATACGTGTACATATATGTCGTGATGAATGTATTGTAGTTCATTCTCTGTGACGTAGATACCTGTATGAACATACATACCTACGTACATTTTTTTAACATTGAGCCATAGATATATGTATATATGTATGGCTGTATTGTATGTACATTCTTGGGTAAAGTGCAATATCCTTTACATATGTATGTGCATATTCTTCTTATTTATTATGTCTGCAGTGCACACTTTTTTATCAATTAATAGACAAGCGTGCATGCTCTGTTTGATCTTTCGTGTAATAAAACCATAAAAATGCAATTAAAATCACATAAAATCATTGAGAGCGAAGAATATGATTTTTGCTCAATGCATTTCCGAACATGAATGGATTCCCTAAAGAACTGCATAGTGACCTTTAAAGTTAAAGGGATTCGTTAAAAAAAAAAATACTATACAGAATTTTCCAAAAAGCGTTGTTAATAATCTGTTGTTGTTTATTTCAATGTAAAGAGGAAGTTATGCCATTAATAATGGAAATCAATAACAGCCAAATGGCCGCCACGACTATGATTACAGGGCCGTATCCTTTTCATGAATTTTTCTAACATCAAATCCCAAAGTGGTGCTTCACAAACTCCATTTTAGAGACTTAAATCGACGTTGATTCAGAAGATCTCGGTGGCCCACCGGAGCATAAACCGCACCAAGTGGTTACACATTAGGCATGGAGAGGGCTTTCAACAATAAATAGTCTGTTTTCCGAGCCCTAGATGCGATAGATTTTTTATTTAAACAGAAAAGACAGAAAGTTGATGAACTTTATAAGCCTTAAGACGGTTACTGCTATTATAAGACCTGTGAATCACCGATTTTCTCGATGTTCTCAAGAACTGGGACATTATTGCGACCCATTATGGCGTATTTTCAGCGACGAAGCACATTTCTCACGAGTCAATAAACCAAATTGTCTGTTTAGGGGCTTCGTGAATCATCAAATAATTGAAAAGAGGTCAGTGCACAAAAAAAAAGTTTACTGTCTGGCACTCTCTTTGGTACGGAGGTGTGATTGGAGCTTACTTCCTTAAAAATGATAACGACTGTCAATCCGGAGCGTTATAGTCGTATAATACCCGAACGATTTGGGCTTGCAGTTGAAAAAGACGACTCGGCTTGGATAATATGTGGTTTCAACAAGATGGTGCCACATGCTATACAACACTAGCGAATATGACTTTATTGCGGGAGAAGTTTCAATTGAGATTCGTCAAGTTATGCCTGAGATACCGTCCAAAGTATGTACCAAAAAGTGGTCGAAGTTTGCGAGAATTCCAGAGGTGGTCTTTTAAATGATCTAGTGCCTAAGCTCAAACTCTATAATAAAAAAGAAACTTTATAATTTATTTTTGTTTTCGAAACTGTAAAATTTGTAACCCTGAATTTGCAGCTATATCAAAATATATTCTTCTAGTTTCTTCGCCATTAGAATAAAAGAATAATCGTGAGTACGACCCACAACAGTATTGAGTATTTATATGTATATATGTTGCTATATATACTCAATAAGCCTCTACGCACATTCAATCCCACAATCACGAGAGAAATTTACTGTCGCTGTTTACTATTATATTTTTACCTGAGCACTTCCTTATCATAATATATATAATATGTAGTATAATTGGCGCCTTGTAACCGCAGAGCCAAATTTTCTGAATTTTACTACAAACTGCTGCTATCTCCGGCAGTCACTCGTCGCTTAATACTATGTAAGTTCAATACAAATGAGGGGAACACCACCAACTGAAAGGCCTACCCTGTAGAGTTTGTTAAATCTGATGCAAGCTTGGTGAAATGTATCGAGCTTAAAATCGTAAACGAAGTGATCTCGCATATACGAGTACATTTCGGTAGGACTTATCCCATTATTTGTAGTGTGTTTTTCTCACAAAAATACATTTTCAAGTCGTCTTACAATTACTAGATAATTTTTGCTCGAAGCTTCATGTCGGAGACCTTGTATATTCCCTGCCGAGGCCAAAGAAATTTGTAAAAAAAAAAAACTAAAAAGCGCTCTTCTAAGGCGATCAAAACGAGAACCATCAAGCCCACCGGCATTTTCGAAATGACAGACCCCGCAATTGAAATATACTATGGTTCCTCGTACATGCTTTACTGATATGAGAAGTTGCGGACGTAATCGTCCTTAGTCCGACAGCTAATTGCAAGTATTAGCGAATCAGACTGATTTCTTGGCTTACAACTCTCAAGAGCTTCATGGGTGATTTCACCTTTTGGGATAAGTTCAAAAATAGGTCTTTTATGAAATAAATTTCGAGAAATCTGGAATTCAAGTTTCTTCAACTGTACTTTACAAAATGTGGCTTTTGTCTAAATATAAAGGTTGTCAACTATCTCCCTTCCGCTTTTTTGTTCTTTATTCAATGCTTTATAAAAAGTGTTACAATGGTCGGATTTAGTTAAAATATGCGCAGTTTTGTTCGATGATCTGTTTCCATCTAGACGGCAACTTCATAATACCTTCCTCGTAGAAGTCCCCCTCCTTATTTGCGAAGAATTCGGACAGCCACTTTTCACAAGCCTCTTTTGAGTTCACCTTCACACCACCAAGGGCATTCGCCATGGACAGGAACAGGTGGTAAGTACTTGGCGCTACGTCCGGGCTATATGGTGGATGCGATAAAACCTGCCATCCGAGCTCCCGTAGCTTCTGACGAGTCATCAACGAAGTGTGTGGTCTGGCGTTGTACTGGTGGAACACTACACCCTTCCTGTTGGCCAAATCTGGACGCTTCTGGTCGATCGCCTGCTTCAAGCTGTCCAGTTGTTCGCAGTAGATGGTAAGCGTCTGGCCATATGGGAGCAGCTCATAGTGGATGATTCCCTTCCAATCCCACCAAACACACAGCAAAACCTTCCTGGCCGTCAATCCCGGCTTGGCCACTGTTTGGGACGATTCACCGGCCTTCGACCACGACCGTTTTCGCTTGATATTGTCGTATGTGATCCATTTTTCGTCGCCAGTCACCATCCGCTTCAAGAATGGGTCGAGTTCGTTCCGTTTCAGCAGCATATCGCAGGCGTTGATTCGGTCCAGAAGGTTTTTTTGCGTCAAATTATGCGGCACCCAAAGATGTCACGAGATGCCATATGCCGGCCTAACTAACACCATTAATCTCACGAAACGTTTCTCTAGCGGATTTGCCTTTAACGAAGGAAAACTGTAAAACAGCGCGAATTTCGGTGTTAGTGAACTCCATGTTTACACATCTATAACTGTTGAACGCAATATCCAAACTAATCATGCATAACGTTGTTTTGTAGGTTATGTCAAGACCTTTCAAATATGTATAGTGTTGCCAGATACGAGCTCTTTAGCGCTTTGTACATATCCGCGAAATTCAAAAGACAAAAAAGCAGGAGGGAGATATTTGACAACCTTTATTTCACGCAAACACTAACCCACCTTACTTTTAAATTTTCAGATCCTGCCACACTAGATATCTTTTCAACACGCCCAAATCCAAAGAAGAAGAGAAAATCACGCACTGCCTTCACGAATCATCAAATATTCGAGCTCGAAAAGCGTTTTCTCTACCAAAAGTATTTATCGCCAGCGGATCGTGATGAGATCGCTGCATCACTGGGTCTTTCCAATGCACAGGTACGTGAATGTATCAATTAGACATCCAACTAAGTTCACCTTCACTAATTTCCTCGAAATTTCCACAAAAATCTTTTATAGGTGATCACTTGGTTCCAGAACCGACGAGCCAAACTGAAGCGTGACATGGAGGAGCTGAAGAAGGACGTTGAAAGTGCGAAACAATTGTCAGGACATAAAAGTTTTTTAGAGAATATTAATGACTTAAGTATTTTAAAGACCCGACCAGTCAGCAGACATCAGCAGCCAACAATATCAATCAGCATGCCGGCAGCGTTTACAGCAGCATCAGCAACATTTAATGGCCTCGCTCAACAATCATCGCAATTTGGTGCATCATCATCACCATCATCATCATCAAATGCTCCCAATATCGCCCTTATCATGCCTGCAATCCCAATCGCCCACACAACAACAGCAGCAGCAGCAGCAGCACAGTTACCAACACAACAACAACAACAACAACAACAACAAGCAAAACAACGTCAACTTGAAACCAGAGCAATTAATGTATCCATTGACATTGCAAGCAACAACAAACAACGACGGAGCAACAGCGGCAACAATGAAAACGCGAGCGCCAACACACACACAACCAACCAGCCAAAGTTACACCAACTCAACAGCAGCCGAGGATAAGAAGGAGCTGAAGATGTTGAAGATGATGACACTCATGTACTACACCAGCCGCGCTCAGGCCGACGCATCTGCGTGTGGCGATGCCTTTGGAGCTGGCAGCAGAGCAGTTGGCAGTGGCAACGGCCACAGTAACGGTGTAGGTGGTGGCACACATGCCGAAGAGACGGCGGGCAAAACAAATGTCAAATAGTAGAGCCGATTTCTTGAAGACAACTGTATATTTCTAGGCATATGTATGAATATATATACATACATATCATATTTACATGTAAATATGTATTTATATTAGCTCAATTTGTAAATGTTATTTAAGTATAATAATGATGTACTTACATACATACATATATACATACAAGAATGTATGAATGATTGTACATACGATATGAATGTATATTTCATTTTTAAATATGTATGTGTGTACATAAAAAGGTAAATGTAAAAATGTAGTAATTAGCAAATAAGTTTGTAAATATTCATATGTCTCGCTATGTGTACGTAAAATTACAGTTACTGTGGCAAAAACGCAAATTTGGTAGGTCATTAGGCTTTGCGGTTATGCGCGATTGGCTTGTAGGAATGTGCTTGGAGAATTAAGAAATCAAGTCTAAAAAAAAAACATTCACAACTCAAAAATTGCCAATCTTTACGAAAAGGTAAGAAAAAACAGTTGACGCTATTCATGCGTCTCAAATAACATGAAAACAGGCGTAACGGTATTTTCCTCCGCTAAGGAAGACCGTTATTTGAGCGAACTTCCGCTTTCTGACTGATATATGGGAGGAAAATGTATTTGAAAAATGTTGAGTTGTGCTTGTTTTTGATTTAACGTGCGATGCATACATATGTACATTAGTTTTGAATTTCATTATTAAGCATAATTGTGATTTTTCCTAATTTAATTAATAAAATATGTTTCAAATATAGAATTTCATATGTGTTTATATTTATATATAAGTACTTCATACCCCCACTAACATATATGTATATGTTTGTAGGTAACTATATCAAAGATATTGATTTCTTTCATACATCTAATTGTTCGAGGGTGAATCTCTTTGTACAGGGTTTTCCAATAAGAGCTGTTATTTTGATATTCAAAGCAAAATTGCAAATTTCGAGTGAAATGTTCGAATGCTTATTTCCATGTAAAGAGGAAAATATACCATTAATAATGGAGACCAATATCAGCCAAATGGCAACCATGGCTACGCTTAGAGAACCGTATCCTTTTTATGAAATTTTCCATCACCAAATCCCTTCACGAATGCTTTGCAGCTTTGAAGTCTTGTTAAAACACAAGATCTCGTCGGCCAATTGCGCTAACCTCTTCGAGAGATAACTCGGGTCGGAAACTTTTCTCTTAAAAGGTGGATGGTTTCATTACTTGTGTGGCATATAGCGCCGCCTTGTTGATAGCAAACGTTGTCTTCATCAATACCATCCATTTTCGGCCATAAACAATCCTTAATCTTCACTAGATAGGGCAATCCATCTCACCTTAACTGTGGCTCCAGCCTCATTTTCGAAATAGTAAGGTCCAATGACCACGCTGGACGATAAACCGCACCAAACAGTTACACATTGAGGATGGAGAGGCTTTTCAACAATAAATCGTGGGTGGAAGCGGGCTTCATCAGTCAAGGTGATTTTTAGATGAAATTACGTACCATTTTCATGCATTTCAAGAACCCAATCAGCAAAGGCAAGCCGTTTTTGATAATCGGCCGGCTTGGGTTCTTGTGTTAACTTAAAAATTATAAGCCTTAGGACCCAAGTCTATATTTCAATTACAGTGTAATGACGTTTGCGGAATGGTCAATTCCAAAGAACAACGAGGAATAGACAGGCTTGGGCTACAAAAGCAATATTCTCAGTTGTTCTTGAGCGACCGGCGTAGTTTGAGCATGTCGATTATCAAAGTGACATCTACCGGAAAGGCAGGCTATTCAAAAAAACACCTCATATTGGAAACCCTTTATTGCTATTCCGGTGTAACTGTAAGCTGCGGGTATAACCTGCTATGTAGCGACCAGTTAAGGCTGGGAAAAATTGCATGACTTTCAAACGGTTGCTTAGTATCATGTACATAAATATACATATACATATATGTATGTAAATTGTCGCTTTGCAACCGCTAAACCGATTTTCCGTCGAGCTTCTCCTCCGATTTGTGGTGTGCGTCTTGATTTTTTTCAAACAAACGGAGCACCTACAGTTTATTCTTACAAATTTCCAAGAAGGGCATTTATTTCATATCAGAAATACACCCGGAGACCTAGACATTCTCTGCCGATGGGCGACTGTAATGTGAACACTTAAATTTCCAAAATTTTGCATGTTGGTCGAACCAGGAGTCGAAACCTGACCTTAAAAATGGCATTAGACAAGGGTAACCAATCGGACCATGTGAATAAGTATTGCTAAGAAACAGAAAATATAGGCTCGTCCTTAAAGAGCAAGGTGACAAAGGTCGCATTGAGAGAGAGAGAGTCAATTGATTTCGAATTTAATGAAAAAAAATACAGTAATTTTTCATTTTAATTTTCTATTTCATTTAGTTTGAAAAAGTTGACCACGGTTTTTAAGATGTTTCTAGGCATATAGTTTGCAAGAATAAAGAAAGAAAACACATATAGTTCAATGTAAGGACCCGGAATCAAACTTTATTATGAAAATAATAAAAGGGTTCGCAATTATATTTTAAAAAATTATACCGTGCAAGTGATCACCGCGGCTGGTTAAATAAATTCCGGCCGAGAGGCCCGATTTTCGTCACTTTTTGTAGCAATGTCAGCAATAACACGCCGAATATTCCATTCCAAGTTGTTAACCGTTTCGGTATTATACACTCGTTGTACGACAAGCCCACGACGCGAGACAATGCGGGCACCAAAAATTTCTTCTTCTTTATTGGCGTTGGCACAGCTTTCGCGATTAAAGCCAAATCAATAATAGCGCGTCATTCCTCTCCAATTTTCGCTGTCTGGCTCCAGTTGGAGATACCAAGTGAAACCAGGTCACTATCCACCTGATCCTTCCAACGGAGTAGAGGTCTTTCTCTTCTTCTACTTCCACCAGTGGGTACTAAGTCGAATACTTTCAAAGCTGAAAGTGCTTTCATCTATTCGAACGACATGCCCCAGTCAGCGTAGCCGCTGTCTCTTCATTCGCTGAACTATATAAATATCATCGTATAGCTCGTACAGCTCACCGTTCCATCGTCTGCGGTATTCGCAGTTTAAAATGCGCAAAGGACCATACATCGTTCGCAAAACTTTTCTCTCCAAGACTCCCAAAGTCGACTCATCAGATGTTGACATCTTCCACGCTTCTGCGCCATATAATAGGACCAGTATATAATGAGCGACTTGTAGAGTTTGGTATTCGTTCCTCGGGAGAGGACTTTACTTTTCAATTGCCTACTTAGTCCAAAGTAGTACCTGTTTGCAGGATTGATTTCCCGTTGAATTTCAAGGCTGTTCTTATAATTGGTTTTATGACTGTCAACAGTGACGCGAGAGTCGAGTCGCGAATACGATGACTGTTTGTTTGATGACAGGAGATACTTAGTCACCAAAAGTCACCTTCAATATATTAATTGTTTCGTGAGCTGTGTGGCATATCATAGCTCTATAGCCGGATTCCTTTTAGAAGAAATATGGACCAATGATTCGCTCTGCCCTCTGCCAACGGCGCCTAAAGAATGGTGTGAGGATTGTCAACACTCCAAATGTAACAAATTTTTTTGATTAACATACATACGGTGCCTCCGAAAGTAAACGTGGTGCGTAACCGATCCAAGGTTGCATGAATTACCAACCCTACTGGGCGACTTTCTCGACCGTTTTATGTTTTATTTTACATTTACTATAATTTTTTATTATCTTTTTATCTCCTAGCATATGTGAAGTGCCTGCGGTTGCCCTTGGCAACACTGGGTTATAACTGTTTCTCTGTCAGTTAGACAGTTCTCCACATTAGTGTAGTGCACACGATTCATTTGGCAGAACTGGTGGCAATGTTTTTCTGTGAAAGATATCGAAAAAAGGTTTTGATGAATTTAAGTTTAAAATAAAAAGCGGATGTAACTGCTAATGGCAACATCTCATGAGTATGCCTTAGCAGTCTTCGTGAGAAAAGTTTTGGTAACAATTGATGGATCTCTGATTGACAACACCGAAACCTGCAAACGATGAAACGGCGGCGTTGACTTAGTTCAGCAAATAAAGGATCTACAATTACGTTAGCTAACGATGCAGTACACGCCAGTGGAAACAGGGGAATAGAAAAACGTTCACTTCGTTGGAAGAATTGGTAGTACAGCACCTGGCTTCACTTAATATTTCCAATTGGCGTCAAACAGTGAAAAGAAGAATATCTATACTTACATAGTATGTTTCATTCGGAGATCCTGGTGCCAATGCTTATTAATTCCACATTTTCATAAATAATTATTATCCTGCCGGAAATGATATGTGTATAATCCACAGTCCACCTGATTCATGTCTTAGCTAAATGTGCTCTCTATATAAACACTCCTTTTCACATACCGGTGTACACCAGTAGAGGCCGCTGCTAAGCAAAGTATGAAGAAAGTCTACAAATACAAATGATTTTGCTATAAAATGTCATTCTTCTATAAAAAATTTTATACAACAGGGAATTTATGATAATGAGCAAGTGCAAATCAAAGAATTTATAATAACGAGAAGACAGAGAACTTATAATTAATTATTTAATTATTAAATTCTCTGGTTCTCTGGAAAAACTCACCCCACTTTGCTTCCGGTTGGGATTAGTTAATGTTTTTGTAATTCCATAACGGATTTCCGTTTCCAATCTGGCTTGGGTCTAAACTAAGTACTGGTTTGAGTCTATTATATTATTTGAATATTTTCAACACTAGGTGGCACCTTCGACAGTTATAGGAAAGTGAAAAAGTTTGTGAAATCAAAGAGCGTATATTAATACCAAAAAACGTATATTGAGACCAAAGAACGTATATATTATAAACATACGTTCTTTGGCAATACCAAGTGAAGTCAGGTCGTTCTTCACCTAATCGTTTGAACGGAGTGGAGGTTTTCCTCTGATTTCACCGGCGGTTATTGCATCTCATACTTTCAAAATTAGAGCGCTTTCATTCATTCGGACTAAATGAGCTAGCCAGCGCCACCAATGTCTCTGCATTCGGCAACTATATCAATCTCACCGTATAACTCGCAAAGTTCATCGTTCCATCGACCGTGCGTTTTATACTTTTCAACGCGCAAAGGATCCTAATAAATCATT